GATTCGGCCTCAAGTGTAAGAGGGTTGACGCGAATAGTGTCCAGCAAGCCATTGATTGCCTGCCGACATTTGCGAAGAAGAGGTAGATCTATCAAGGCCAGCGCAAAATGTGCTGACCTCACCCTGGACAATACGTTCAGCTGATTCCCTTTTGCAAGTGGACCCAGGGCAACCCTTCTCCCGTGAGACCAAATCTGGGACCTTGGTGCGGATAGCTTCCAGATAACAGAGCGCTGTTTGTAGAACGCTGCCTGACGTCATGGTGCGGGAAGAGGAGATGGCTGTGTCGTTGGAGATATGGGAGAGTGGAGCTGAATCAGAGTGCAGTCAGACGAGGTGATGTTAAGAAAAGAGAGATCCACGTACATATCTGGACATTGTAGTTCTGATTCAGGGTGCTAGAGGTGGAAGTGAAATGGACGAGACATTGGAGCTCGTCACTGGCGTGCTGGACGTGACTTCATGCGCACAAACATGTCACTATCGATGTGGTCGACCACGAGGAATTCATCTCGGTGATCAGGATCAGGGAAACAAACAGCGCCACGAATGAAAGACTGGACTGGAAAGAAGATTGAACTTGCCCTTGGGACAGCTTTGACACAAGTAAGTCGTAGATCACGGTCCAACCTGCGAGAAGCACCAATGCCAGCAGTGAATGGCTGAACCAGTGCAAACTCGAAGGAACCAACATCCAGAAGCTGACAACTGAATATAAAAACAAGGTGAACAAAGACCGATACTTCCTGAGTGAGTTTTATAAGTGCACAGTCATAGCACGGGTGCCCATGGAAGCTTGGAGTGCATCGGAGGTAGTCGGTAGTTTGCTTCCAGTCGACGGAAGACTCGTAGTGAACTTTGAGATATCGATGTTCGCGAATCTAGTTCAGAAATACATAAATCAGTACAAGACATTTACAAAACAAGATCAACTCACCAAGAAGTTTGTGGGTATGGTAACCCATCTCTCCAGTCGATATCCGTACGTCGGTAATGAGTTGTTGATAAAGTCAGAAAACTTCTTACGAAAGCCTTGAAACGCCCGATCCAATTGGCCGCTGTGGTTCTCGATGTCTTGGATGGCTACGGGCTGTTGTGTCGAACCAAGTTTGATGTGCCCCTCGAAAGCAACGGGATTCGGGACTTCATCGTCATCATTGCCCTCTTCTGCCAATGTGCGCCGGTCGTCAAGTATGTCCACGTGCGCTCTCAACATTTTGACTGCGAATTTGCGCTTGTCAACACGGAGTATCTAACGAGGTCTTTACATGAGCGAACATCAGATACTATGATGTTAGAAACATACCTGGTCAGCGACATCCTTTCCATTTGACTGGCGCTCGTAGGCCTCTTTGAGGGGGCCATGAAGCTTCTCATTCGGACGGGTGCTGTAGTTGCGTACTACACCCTTCATTCGGATGTCCCTAGTTACATGCTTCCAGAGATGCGCCTTTGGAAAGTCCCAGTCAAGCTTAAGACCCTCGATGGGAGAATTGAGAGCGCATTCGATGGAGTCCTAGAATGTGTGATCAACAATCTATTTAAAAAGTGAATGAACAAAACATTTACCTTGAGTGCGCTATCAAAAACGAGTAGTTCAGCATCAATTGCTGCCAGCGTGCTTGATGTATGCACGTCGAGACCGATATAGCTGTCCAATTGCAGATAGCTGCTAATAACGCGGAGAAGTTTGTACCCTTCTGGGCTCGTCCTCTGGTTGAAGATGTTTACCGCAGAATAAAAGACTTGCTGCGCAGCAATCAGTATTAGAAAGCCAAAAGCCTCATGATACGTACCTTGGATAGATCTTGCATCTTGTTACCATCACTGAAGGTAATGTGGATGACGGTGCTGAAATGATTAAGATTGCGCCATCGAGGGAAACTAGCAACCCTACCGAAGGTCATGAGTTGATGAGAATCGCGATGTGAATGACTTACTGTTTCTCAACCTTTGACTCTTCATCACGTCCAAGTGCTTTGAGGATTTTCTTCAACTCCTCGAGTAGGTGCCTCCACATGCCAAGATGGAGGGCATGAAGGCAGTCAAAACTGATGGCTTGATGAGGATCAGAGTGGGAAATGAGCCAGAAAACATTCTGTTGATGTATTAGTGAAGATCAGAATTGTATGGGATAACGAGATATGAAGGAGATGGGCAGGAAGAGGAGAATTATCAGATAACTAAAACACAGAACTATGGGGAATCTTGCCAGAGGTCCAGTGCGCGAGCATCCCTCTGCTTTAAAACAGCAAGAGCGGCAGTCTGGAAGCTACTCTGCTTGAACCTGTAATTTACAAGCAAGCGGGGGCGAAACGAGAGAGTGAATATCACTGCTGACTTACCGTGACAGCGCGCAATCCTAATGCCTTGAGAAGTTCCTCGCCTCGAGCTTTGCTGACCTTGTAAACATTGAGTGCGGCTATTGCTTCTTCCACTGATCTAAATGCAAACGTCTTTGATAGCTCGCTAAGTTCCTCGAGTGGTACAAGACATACCGGACAGGGACATTTGCTATGGTGGCCGCGAATGAGAGACATCATGCATCTAGAAACAGTCTGATATCAGATTGCGGACACTGTGTGTAAGAATACAGAACTTACTGTTCTTCATAATCAGCAGATAGTATCAGAATAATGGGAAACAGCCAGCGCGCGATCTTGTCATAGCAAGTATGTGAATAGCCAGACTTTGAGTATTGCGTGACCAGTTCCAACAGCTTTAAGAATGCCTCGTGCCATACGACGCGCTTGAGGTTTACGAACCCTGGCTTGCCTTCTTCGTCTGCATCTTCAGATACCTGCAACTATAATGAGTCACGTCAGAAGATTCAATCAGAATGTTGACGTACGATTGGCAACCACCCGACAACACAGCCACCACCAATACCCTCTCCATTTCATATGCCAACTGGCAAATTCGCGCAACGGACCACGACAGGATATCCCTTTACTGTACCATGGGACGACAGTCTTGTCTTGTCCGCATACAGGATGAAGCAGAACGGAGCAGCCTTAATGTCATTTGGAAGGCGACTCTGGTTTGTTGATGCTGAGTGAGAGTGGATAGTAACATTAAATAGATATTACATGCCTGTATGTCCCACCATCGATCACCCGTCCACGGCTCGTTGTAAAAGCGTTCAAACTCCCTGCCGTTATGCTTGAAAACTTGTTGTGCATCCCAGACAAAATGCGGAGCAAGCAGCAGGATTAGCTAGCAAATCAAGGGCCCAGTCCCACAGAGGCAGCGCGTGGGTCTCATATACTCGTTGTTCTTTCTTATAAGGAACGGTGATGTCGTGTTTTACAAACTAATTCACAACATATATCATACAAAATGTGAGATTAATTAATGACATACCGGCGTCACCTGAGCCGTTGCGTGTTCCCAAGCTTTGTGCAGCTCAATGTCATTTTTAAAAGTGACTCGGCTCTCCCCTCTCGATATGCGGCCAATAAGCGCAAGGAGCCCGTCAATGTGTGACTTGTTGAGGGCAGCATTGAGTGCGATCTCCGCACACTCGAAGTCACCACGGGAACAGAAAGGACGCCAGGGCTCTTCATCTACGGGAAGCTCTTCCTCAGGGCGCGTATTGACGCCAAACTCCTCAAATGTTTGAAGGAGCAGTTCACGACGAGCAGAAGGATGATAGACCGTTTTGAATTCAATGGGTTGTGGAGGAGGTATTGCAGGTTGCGGTTCAACAGAACCTCGCTGGCTGTTGGCTATGCAAAAGAATCAGTAAGCGATACAGGTGAATATGGTGCACGCTTACCTAGGCTACCAGCACCTTCGAAGTTGCCATCGTAAGCTTCGAAATCACCAGCATTTGGGTTATCTGCTGGCAACACAGAGTCAGCTAGTGTCAGTTGGCATTGTAGGGACACGCAAAGAATATGCGAGACATACCTAGAGGACCATGATCTTTGATCGCAGGGGGTGCGTTCTGAATCCCAGCGACTGATCGCGATGGGCCAGTGCTGGGCGTTATCATGCCCATGTCAGTGTAAGCCTGCTGCCGAGCTGCATACCTCAATATTGTCAAAGGAAACCATCAAGAATGGGTAGCAGAGGACTCACCTCTCCTCTGATCTCGTGCATATTGAAGGGCAAACTCTGCTCGTTCCGCCTTGGTGTCCTTCTGCTTCTTGCAGCTTGCTTCAGTGCTTCTTGAAGCCTTGGGTCTTGAACTTCTTGCTACAATGCGGGCATGAAAGCTGCCCTGTCAGAGTTTCTTCTGAGAAGTTGTATTTGCTTCGATGAGTGCGAGAGGGACCCATGCTGATAGCGACGATGCGATACTGTACAATCGATGAACATTATTGTTTATCGATATCATTTCATAAGACAATCTCACGCTTGTGATGACCTCAGCCGCCCTTGAAAGGCACTTGTAATGTACCTTTTAATGCACATGACCCAAGTCGTAAGCCGGCGGCATTACAATGGCATGTAACTTTTTTCCGACAAAACCCTTCTTGCGATCGCTAGAAGGCGGGTGCGACCCTTTTTCACATTCAGGACATCTCTTTACCCAGCGGTTGGTAGGAATGCGGATTACCTTCCCTGAGTTTGGGTTGGTCAGTGTGATATCTTGTTCCCCGTTGGGCAAATCCTCAGTGCGACAGCTGGTAAGCGTGAAGAACGGGCGACCTAGCAAGATCTCGAAGTTAGCAGTCGGAACAACTTGGACCTGGAACAGCATTTCTCCCGCGCCAAAGTCTAGCGGAAGATTCTCTATAACGCCAAGTGTCTCCTCGGTAGAAGTATTGACTGATTCCATGACCAGTTTATGGTCGGATCTCAATGGAATGCCGCCTAGCAATCGCCAAACAGATCGCGGCATTACAATGCACTCGGCACCCTGATCAAGAACACAGGAAAGAACCCAGCCATGACTCATAACCGCTCTGATACATCGCAGTGACTCGAAATGTTCAGCGACAATGCGACCGTCATCGCTCCTTTGTAAACAACCGTTGTACTTCCTCAGGAAATCATGCATTTCGGGTTGGCCACTCAGCTCGTTCACTGATACCTGACCCGACAGTGACACGCTTGGTGGTAGTCATTTCCTTGAGCACCTTGCGGACGTCGGTGGATACTGCAATCAACTCCCGCATGGGTATGCTGATGCTGGAGTCTAGCATCCGATTGATAACCTTTTTGTTGGCTTCCTTATCTTCTAGTGGGTGGGTATACCTAAACTGCGTAGAGGAGGGATTAGCGGTAGGTGGATCATAGGATGAAGAAGAGGTCGTGGGTAGCGATGATGAGGATGAAGTACTAGGTGCGGATGATGAGCTTGCTGGCGTCACCACTATTGTACCTTTGTTAGGCGCGCTGGCGGTCTTCGATCCAGATGCCTTGAACCTGCGGAGATGCGACTTCTTCCACTGCGTCGGTAGTCTTGGAAGATGGTCCTGGTTTTGGGCGTGGCGGGACATTAACACCCCCAAACCGTACATTCTTACCCTTGTCCTTGCGGTTAGCGCAATCCGCTTTCACTGCTGCAAATGCGTTGCGGGCTCGTGTTGCTTCTGCCTCCAGGCGGGCTAATTCTTCGTCGTCGGAATCACTATCCTCTACACTGGCGCATGTGTGCATAAATGCGCAAGGCTTGATATCCAGAGTCGCTTGAGTGGTTGGCTCAGTGCGACAATACATCAACCCTAGCACTGTCGAGTTAGAACCTGTAGTTGGTCCATCGCGCAGGAATCTGTCTATGCGCTCCTTGAAATTCCCATCAGAGAGCCTTCCCGGGATGTTGCTACCGTAGGGCATAACAATCCTCTTTTCTGGCGTGATGTGGATTTTACCCTCGCTGGCATATTGGTCACATAAAGCGCAGCAGTTCGTGTAGTGATCTCCTCCGCAGAAGTAACATGCGTTGTTGGAGGGAGGTCGCATCTGGCTATACTCCCGCTTTACCACAGTTCCGGTGGCGGGTTGCTGAGGTGCGGTTTGCTGGTTAGTTGCGGGTACGACAGGAGGTGAAGCAGCAACTGCCATAGGCGCGATACTGGGTAGCAGGAATACCGCAGCATCGTATACTTCTTCCAAGGTGTATGGGTCGTCGGGATGATGGTCGACTAGCTTGATCTCTAACCTTCGCTTGATGGCAGTGTTGGCCATGGAATGGATACCTTCTAAAAAGTAGCGACCGAGCTCGAGTTCCGCTATCCTACTCTTGTCTAGGAGGTATTGTGAAACGTGAAGGAACTTGCAGTAGAACTGTCCCAGTTCTTCCTTCGAGCAAATTGGTTTGCGGACCTGTTCCTTGCAAAGGTTTTCTAAATCAGTGCGCGCATAGCGATGATCGCCTTCGCATCCTGGGTACATAGCCTTGATGGCATTGACAAACTTGTCCCAATCTTTACCTTTCGCAGCAGGTCTTGATGCCCATGTTTCCGACTCGTCTATGGGCGCGTATCGGATCGCAGCTTTGATGCGCTGCTTAACGGTAAGTCCTGCATAGTCAGCAAGTAATTCCACATCTTCAAAAAATGGTATGAGGTGCGTTGGGGTGCCATTGAATTTTGGCGCGGCGTCAGTTCCTCTAAGAGGCATCTTGAATGGTGCAGAAGACATGATGGTGGGTTGGATGGGTTGAGCAAAAAGGGCGGGTTGCACGACTGGAGGAAGGGCGGTAGTAATTGGTGCTGTCGAGGAAGACGCGGTATGAATAGCGGGGTCGGGTATGGACGGCAGGAGAGTGCTTAGTCGCTTTTGTGGAGACGGGATAGAGCTAGGTATGAAGGAGGTGGGTACGAAAAGGTTCTGCCTTTCGGGTGAATCGTCGCGAGACGGAGTAGAGGGGGTGAGTGATGATGCGGTGGAGGGAGTGTCTACAGTAACAAACGGAACTCGAGGGAGCGGAAGGTAATGTGATGTTAATTGTCCAAGGGGTTCTTCCTCTTCTTTGAAATCAGGAGTGAGATGGCGGATAACAGTAGCTTCCGAAGATGAGCGGGATCGCGAGTCGAATGCAGCGTGCTCAACTTCTTCGTTGGTGGAATCTATTACTGAGTAGAAAAAATCTTCTTGTGAAATGTCGCTAAGGTCGCGAGGTTTTCGGGTCTCGGTAGGTCTAGGCGGTGTGCCTTCCAGCTTCAAATGGCCCCCTCGCGGTGGGCTCCAGTTGTGGGAAACACAACAAGAAGAGAACTCTGTAAAGTACTCTTCAAATGTTGGGTCAAAATTGCTATGCCTAGCTGCTATTCGACCCTAAAGGATTTCTGTACTAGACTCAGAGCTCAGGGAGTAGAAATATCCTCAAGCAAAAGACTGTGATTCAGACTGGTACTGACAGTGGTGAAAGGGAGACATGATTATGTAAGCAGTAAAAATGCGAACATAAACTAAGGAAAGTGGGTAAGTGAAGGTAAGTAAAAAGGGGGAATATCAGCCCAGGGAAAACTATATTGTCACAATGGCCTGCAGGGAAGATCCAAAACCAGACCACCATGGCTGAGCGCTGGTTGGCTCGCTGTCATGCATGGTATGGAACTCATACCATGACATTGATAGACAGGAAGTAGCCACAGAGAGTACACTAAGGTGTACCTCATTGTATCATTATGATTGGTTCCATTTTGACAGATTTACTTGTATTTATATTTCCAGTATGATAGTTTTCACCTTTCCCCTTTTCTTTTCATTTCTTTTGTGTGGTTTATTCAGCCACCAGTGAGCCACCAAGATGTGTTAGTAAGCATGTCATGTGATAGGCAATAATCTGATTTGTAAGGATTTGTCATGATTGGTCGTGCTTTGTCATGATTTATCATGCTTTGTAATATTATGAACTTTATTTGTAAACTACTTTGTAAGCAGCTGATTCAGCACTGCCAAATGGCATGGTTAGTAAGCCAGTGACTTACTAATGCTGTGATGAGTCATGCTTAGTAAAATGGCCTCCCAAAAAGGTATAAAAGGAGCCCATTCTACACTGAGTAATAATAACTTCCCACTTTTCACTCTTCTCTCAAACCGTGAGAGTCCGTAAGACTTAATGTCACGAATTCCAAATACAAACCATTATTCTTTCCTGAACACTCGTAAGACACCCGTTAGACGCCCGTCACAAGCACCTGTCGTTAGCGCTCAGTCAGCGTCTGTACCTATAACCTTCACAAACCCTAACCCGAACCCACCCTTTACATTTCCGAACTTCTCTATTCCTTTAGCGCCTACTACCGTTATCTCCGACATTCCCGATTTCGACTTCCTTTCACAAGCAATCAAGTCACGTGACTCTAGAACCTTCGAGAACCCTTGCACAGCTGTTACACGTTTCATGACATCATAGTGTAGTTATATTTAGATCATCGTATGATTCCCTTTTCTATTTAATGATTGGCTAGTTAGTTCAGACTCAGATTCATTCTCCGCTTCAATATATGTATATAGGTAGCTCATTGTAGTCGGTAGTTCTTCAGTTCAAACCTCTTTTGTATTAGCTTACTGCTAGCAATCCTAAGACGTCCCTGCTATCCTTTCCTCTTTGTTGTGATATCCTTGTTTGAGTCCTAGTCTCTGCCCCTACGTTAATTCGTTATAAGGGTTGTGACACTTAAAGTGCAGGCCACGAGTGCCTTGAAGTAAGATAAACATCGTATCAGAGATTAGTTGTATACTACCTTACAGGGGTCGCTTATATAACAGTCTATTTATAAACTACTTGTTGTGTGCTACCTTTCAGGGGCTGAGTATACAACACCAGAACAGCTTTCGTACTAGGCTTTACGTATTTAAGACAGACTTCATTACTTGTTGTATACTACCTTACAGGGGTTGAGTATATAACACCAGAACAGCTTTCTAACTAGGCTTCACGTATTTAAGACAGACTCTCTCTTTTTCAGGAAGGGAGACACGAGAACACGACAAAGTTGAGACAGACTTTCATAGGTTGAGACAGGACCTACAAGATTGAAACAGATCTTACTATCAGAACATTAGGGAATCTACGAGTATTCCACCAGGGAAACAACAAGAAGAGGACACGTCAGTAAACCCTCCCAAGAACTCACACATTATCTACCACGAAAACTATAAAAGTCGTAGACTGTGTACTTAAGGACTGGCAAGAAGTCTTATCCTGTATAGTTGTGTTGTCACTATACATGCGTTGTACATAAGACCCTTAAGTAGTAAGACATTGCACTGTTGACCGAATGTGAATGCATCAGATATAGATGCCAGGGACACCAGATCATCTGGACTGTGAGTAGTGTGATTGCTGTGATAAGTGCGATAGATGCCGTAGTGGTTGGGATCAGTGTGTATGGTAGAATCATCTGCGTCTGCTAGAGGGATAGGATCAGCTGGTTCCACTTGAAGTTCGTCATCAGGGGGCTGCGGGGGAATGACAGCCACAAGGGGAGGCTGTTCATCATGGAAGTGCTTGGGCAAGTGAGTATGACGGCCTGGCCTCCCAGAAGGACATAATGGAGGAGGTGAAGGGCTTGCAGCCTAAGCTGCATATTGACTCAGTAATTAGAGGACTCAAAGGGTGCAGTACGAACAGGCATATTATCCTCAACTTCAGCAGTACTCTCTTGAATCTCTTCTCGCCTACGTTGAGCATCTTCTTCCTCTTCTTGGCGCTGAACCTTTGCAGCTTGCTGGACTTCGATATTGTGGCATCGTTTCTTGAGTGTATCAGAGGCAGCACCAATGACCTTTTTACAGTATTGTTTGTGTATAGAGAGGGATCGACTGTCATCAAAAGTGCACCCACACCCTGGACACTTGTGAGTTGAGGGCATGGGTCATGGAGTTATCGCTCACCTGCAAATGATAGTGATATAAGGTGAGCAATTGATGATAGGGCTGCAGTCCGATAATTCATTAATCTCATACTTAATCTTAGCTTCCAGTCATGCTGCAGACAGAATCACTTGATTGAGTTACAAAAAAACTTATTACATATGCAGAAGATCGTGCAATCCCAACAGACTGGGCAGTGACGCACATGTTCAGACTGAACCAGATCGGTGACACGCAGGTGGAGACAGGTTGGAGGTACTGAGGGCACAGTGGAGGTTATCCACTGTATCAGCTGGCCATGACAACAACATTAGACTGAGCCTTCAAACTGTCCATAAGAGCGAGCAGTTGCAGCGATATTCAAAGATACAAGTAGATATAATAATAAAAACAGAACAGTGTCCCATGAGCGGTAGAGCATCTCACCGAAAGAGACAACGTATCCAGCAGGTGAGGGTGCAAGGCAGGTGCAAGAATGTGAGGCGGGTGAGAGGCAGGTGAGAGTGAGAGGCAGGTGAGAGTGAGAGGCAGGTAAGAGTGAGAGGCGGGTGAGAGTAGGCAATGTCATGGGTTTTGGAAACCCACATGGGTCATGGGTATGGGTACCTGTGGGTTGGGTAGGGGTCTCAGCTTGCTGACCCACCAGATACCCATACCCATAGACATGGGTTGGTGTGTATCTTGGTATCAGTCGAAGCTTATTGAACTGTACAGTTATCTCTATATATGGTAGTACATTATTTCAAACTTTAAACTATATTTCACACCCGGAATTCTTCTATTCTAAGCGGTGCTTCTACACAACACAATCTCTGCATCAATGGCCGACAAGCGACAGCGCAAGCCTACCAAGAAGGTGTGCGAGTTCTTCTCAAATGTCAAAAAGATCATCAAGCGAAAAGCAAGTCAAGAGCTCACCTCTGGAAAGTCTGGGAAACGTCCCACAGCTGTGGTGTCAGATGCCAAAGACTCGGACTCTCCTTCAATAGTTCCTATGGTTAGCCAGGGTAAAAATGTCCATGAAGAGAGAACACCTACTTCGACACCTACTGTGGCCAAAGCTACAATGAGCCGTTGAGCATTTGTATGGACTGAGGAAGAAGAAGCTCTTCATAGCGATGAAGATGTTGTGGAGGTCGTTCCTGAAGACGAGGATGAAAGCTCGGATAGTGAACTCGGTAAGACTCGATTCATAACAGACACTGTTGTAGTATATTAACTCAAATGAGTAGAGCGCTTGAAAAAAGAATGGAACTCACCTATTTATGCATTCTACCACCCGGTCCCGGACATTGGTTATCACGAAGGCCGCCGCTACCATGAATTCAAGTGCGCGGCTACGAGCTGCAAGAAAGGGGTGCGCCATTACCTCAATAAGAAGGACGCAAAGTCCACGAGTAACATGCGGAAGCATGCAAAGTTGTGCTGGGGCAAAGAGACCGTTAACATGGCCGATGAAACAAAGAATGCTAATGAGGCACATACCATAATCTCCGGGGCAAAAAATGGGTCTATCATGGCATCATTCGAACGCAAGGAGAAAGGCAAGGTCATATATTCACACCGGCAACACACAAGAACCGAAACAAAGTACGTACCTTCGCTGTAATGGTATCAACATCAAGGTTAATGATGGCAACAGAGCTGAGATTGTCCGATGGGTACCTGAGAGCCTGCGACCATTCACCATTGTAAAGGATCGCGGCTTTCAGTCACTAATGAAAACAGGTTGACCAGAATATTACATACCTTCTCCATCGACTGTCTCGTGTGACGTCAAGTTGGTGTTTGCTCACACGCGACAGCGGATTGCTAAGATGTTGCGAGTTTAGTAGCATACCTATATTTAAAAATAAATCTAACTATTGCTTACCAGGAATACGACAGCCAATTGAACTTCGCCACCGATGCGTGGACATCTCCGAACCACAAGGCATTCGTAGCCGTGTCCATGCATCTAGAGCATGAAGGGAAACTGTTAGCGATGATACTAGATATAGTGGAGGTGGCCGAGGCAAGTAAATACAAAATGTACCCTGAAAAATCACTAATGGTCCAGTATTCAGTCTCACTCCGGCGAGAATCTTGCAGCAGTGTTTGAAAAAATACTAAAAGAGTTTGGTATAACGGATAAGGTGAGTGGGGACACATAGCTTCTAGTACAGTGCTTACCAAGTGGGAAGATGTTGAGTTTGACGGGCGACAATGCAAGCTCTAATGACACGCTGACAACCGAGCTTGCCAAGCGTGTGGATTCGTTCGGTGGCGCACTGAGCCGAACATGTTGTTTCTACATATTGTCAATCTCGTGGCAAAGTCCATCATCAAACTGTTTGATGTACCTAAAAAAGAGCAGGCTCGATTGGACGATGAGGCACCCAAAGCAATGGACGTCCTGGAAGATGACACGGATGAGGAAGAACAACTCTTGCAAGAGTTGGCGAAAGGTACCGATAACGACGATGGATATACCATTGCCGAACGAGGTGAGGGCAATCCAGAGGACACTGACATAGACAACATTGAAGGGTGGGTTGATGAGAGCACAAACCTGACGGCTCATGAGCGAGAGGAACTCCACAAGAACCTGCGACCTGTTAAGCTTGTGCTTGTGAAGGTAAGGAATCAAGATTACATAACGGAACGACGTACTGATGCATTGAACACGTGCCTCGCAGCTTCGCAAACTTGCATTCAGGATTGTGCATTCATCCACACTATTACTGCCTGCTTGGAAGGCGCTACTTGAAGAGCTGGAACTGAAGGTTCGTGTTATGCCTCGGGACATATTGACGCGTTGGAACTCCACGTTCGACATGTTGGACTTCGCAATTGAGTATCAGCAAGCTCTGGATATTTTCACTGGGGACCGCAAACTTGGGTTGCACAAGTTTGAGCTCAGTGAGAAAGTGTGGAAGATAGCTACACAATTGCACGACACATTAGTGGTGAGTCAAGCAGTCCCTATTTATTAATTCCTCAAGCTCACACCAATAAAGATCTTGAAGGATGCCACCACCTACTTTTCCTGTGCCACACCAAACCTTGCTACTGTAATCCCAGCCATGGATCACATCGACAAATCACTCACTACCCATTCCTTCGACAAGAACTTGAATAGCGCCATTCGTGCCGCACTTGCTATGGGCAAGAAGACCTTGGACAGGTACTATTCCCTTACTGACTCTTCTCAGACATACCACATAGCAATGGGTAAGTTTTCATTCACTCTGTGGTGTTCACTATACTGATCTCTTTAAAGTGCTTCATCTGCGTCACAAACTGAGCTATTTCAAGACTGCTGGATGGGAGGCAGAGTGGATCCAGACTGCCTCTGACCTCGTGCGCCACGAGTTTGACTTCGCATATGCTGACATGCCAACCAGTTCAGCGGATGAGGAGTTGGCATATGGTGAGCATGAATCACAGCTTCTAAAGGTATGTTTGATTTTGTTCAATCAAGATTGTTACTAACGCATTGATCTGATTCTCACAGACATCAATAAAAGAGAACATTTTCGACCATATTCCAGCTCTTGCAGCTCCCAGGAACTCGACCTCTTCAGACGAACTTACCGCATACCTCAGCACAAAGTGTGAGCATGTCCCCGATGTCATTTCATGGTGGCACAAGCACCATACCACTTATCCGCGTCTCTCCCGCATGGCGCTCGATTATCTGACAATTCCTGGTATGTTTTCTCCTGGTTTTTTGTAGTACTGCTACTCACATTGACACCAGCTACGTCCGTTGATGTCGAACATATTTTTAGCTGTGGCCGACTGCTGCTCTCGCATGTTTGCAGCCAAATGTCTTCGCAGACAACTCGGGCCTTGCTGTGTGTTGGGATCTGGAGCCAGTTGGGTTTGGTGCGCGACAACGACGTCAAAGCAGTTGCAGTGTTGAATGATGTTGACGGCAAGGAAGATCAATTGGTTGATGGCTGGGATGTTATCAATATTTAGTCCTTATTGTGTTGCTACTACTGACATCCCTTGTACCTATGATAGATCTATCTACATGAATGCACGGGTCGTGGGTTACCCGCCGCGGGTTATTTACCCATGATACCCTTTGCATACCCTCGTTGAAACCCGTACCCGAGCATACCCTTGGGCCGTGGGTGCGGGTAAGTGGCGGGTACGGGTGCGGGTACACTCGTGGATACCCACGGGTTACCCATGCCATTGCCTAGGTGAGAGTGAGAGGCGGGTGCGAGAATATGAGGTGGGTGAGAGTGAGAGGCAGGTGAGGGTGAGAGGCAGGTAAGAGTGAGAGGCGGGTGAGAGTGAGAGGCGGGTGAGAGTGAGAGGCGGGAGGCCAGAAATAAGATAAATAGCCTAGTACAAGAAACAAAGTCAGTACACATGGTAGGTAGTAGGAATAGAAATGATAAATGCTGTCAGGCTTACATGCTCAGAGTCGCCTCCTAGAGGCATGTCCTCGCAGCCTGACAGCCTCTGGTCCAAGTCACCTCCTAGAGGCATGTTGGACCAGGAAGTGAAGTGCAAATAAAAATAAAATAAAAAAACTCACCAGAGTTATTGCACTTGCTCGGACAGATGGCCGAAGACGGCAACCATGCACAGCTGGGTATCTTCGTGTGCTTTGAGGGCAGGATACAGGAATGGCAAGAAGGCTTGAATGTATGGTGCAAATCCGGCCCAGAGGAGCGGAGGCAGGTGAGGGTGCGAGGGCGAGAATGCGAGGCTTGTGTGAGGGTGGGTAATCATTTGTGGGCAGGTGAGAATGTGAGGGCGGTGGCTGGGAAGATAACAACAAGTGATTCTAAAAGACTCATTAGCTTCAAACATGTACATAAGAAAACGAACAAGAAAATACTCACAAGTGGTAATAACAGTCTGAGGGAGCACTAGACATGGAGAATACGATGTGTGGTAGTATCTAACAAGACAAGTGAAATCACACATTTGGCAATTCAAACTCCGCCGGCAAATTCCGACGGTGCTAAACTTCCAGCACTGATGCGTCTATCTCTGTTTTCTTATACATTTTCCTAATTTCTAATTTCTAATGTCTAGTACTACACTACCTCTCGCCATTGACTGCAGCGAGAAGCTCGATGTCCATGGCAATTGCATTGCCATGGACATCGAGAACATTCTCATAGACTGGCCAACATACATGGTCGAGTTCACCCCCAAGAAGCTGGGACCTGTAGTAAGTGGATATATTACAATATCTGTGTCATTGATTAACATGCATTGATCCTACAGAAACTAATGATACATTTCAAAAATGCCTCAAAGGGAGTCTGGGTCGAGGATGAGGACAGTGACACTGAGACAGTGACAGTCGCGATTTGCAAGAGGTGTGCTCCCGCTTCCATGCTCACTGTGAGCATACAAACTAACATATCAACTGTTTCAAGCTCCTCCACTTGTGCTAGTACCACCCATGATGCTGACACCACGTTGGTATCTGATATGCCCTCTGAGTCTAAGTACATTGTGTCACGGTTTAGAGCTCTGCGTCTGACCTCAACGTACCTTATGGATGACACACAGCTTGTCAGCGCAACTCCGGTACACTTCATTGGTATCCCCAAAAACCCCTTGACTCTCAAAAAACGCAAATTCAGAGATGAAGATACCATTTGGCCCCCTCACCGCTCTCGCTACAGAGGTGTTGACAACATACCAATCTCAGCTTTCCGTAAACTCTCAATTCTTCCTGCCCCTGTAGTGGCTGAGGATGAAACTGTTTAGACATCTTACTTTGTACCATCATTGTCTTGTTCCGTCATACTGCTGTCTGTATATCATTGTTGCGCATACATGTACTACTAGTAGCAAATCAAAGCCATCATGACCATCACATGACTGGCCCAAACAACACATCAACACAAATATGAGCTCCGATTCTTATCATATGTGCCTTGCCCTAACTCTAACTCTTACGTCCATCATGCTGTCTCCATCTCTGCCTCCTGATGTCCCCAATTGCATGAAGGCCATCCTTGAGAGCTTGGAAAACATGCAAGGCAATCGGAAAAGGAAAAGACCGTAAGTGGTTTTTAAATTATTTGATAGGTAGCGCTGATATGAGATAGTGATGCTTTGGATCCCTTTTTGAAGGCCACAAGAGCCTTTCCTCTGCTCCCACAATCCCTTTGTGGATATCGGCACTGTATTCCATGACAGGATTAGGGCCGATCATGGAGAAGAACTTACCGATGAAGACAAAACACCCGAAGAACAGTAAGTCCTCTTTCCTTTATCAAGCACATCCCAGCCATCATCACCACACTCAGCAGCTTTGAGGAAGATCCGGCCAAGCTAGAAGACTTTATTAATGCAGTGAGTGGATATATGCGCTTATATGCACATATTTTTAGTCACACTTCATGTGTAGCTTTGAAATTCTGCTTCTTGGCGCACGCTGAAGACACCTGCAAGCTGAAAGACCTCTGTCCGACATTTTTACTTGATGACCCTTCGAAACCTGGCACCACTTTGGACCCCCCCTATCGTCAAAGGACAACCCAAGTCACTCTGTGGGTGGCACCACAAATCTACTGCACGAGCACTCTGTCCTATGGTTGACATCAAGAAATTTGATGAAGACCCTCAGTATGCTATTTATATTCATTTTTCGCCTTCACTTACACTTTATTTCAGAGCATTTATGGATGGTATTCTCAATGGCAAGAAGAGACCGCCCCATCATTCAAAAAACTCCCATCATGTCTATATGATGAATCACTTGCTGACCCGAAACTGAAGCGCGCAGGGTTTCTGCATGGCAAACCTCTTGAATGGGTAT